AATTCGGCGGTATCAGTTGTCGCTCTATAATTAATTTAAATAAAACTGATAATTTATTTTTGTTGAATATTAAGATGTTATATAATAAAACGTTATCGAACTGTGTATAATCCAAAAACCACACGCACAAACTCTTAAAAACCAAAAATTAATTATCCGAGCCTTCATTTTTTATTTAAAACTTCGCCAGGAATAATATTTATGAATAAAATACAAAAACGGCACTTGAAAGAGAAAATCAGCAATTTGGGCGACTGGTGTTTGGTTTGCAAACAAAATTAAAATATAAATATTTATTTGTATAATAAGTAACAAACTATGTTATGATTATGATGTTTATGTTTATTGTTTACAGTTTAATGTTTTAAGAAAGATAAATAGAAACAGAAAGAAAGATTGACCAACCTAAAAAACTGATTTAATCGAGAACATTTAGCGGCGGCTTGATTAATTAACTCTTCTTTTCGTTTTCTATTTCTCTCTTCAGTCGGCATTATTAGAATATTGGATAATTACAGAAATGTGTAATGTGTTAAGTGATTTAATAAAGATCAGTAAACAGTTTCCATGGAACGGTTCAAAAGCAGAACAGATAACAAAATAGCGATGTGCTAAAAGTTCTATTATAAAAGAGTATTAAAATATCTAGATCGGATCGGTAAAAATTAATGCACACATTTTATGCACATGTTTTGTTTTATAGTATTCAAAATATTTCGCGCAATTGCAATATCAAACTCTATGTAAATCGATGTTTTGGGGCAATAGGGGCATATTGAAATGTTGTTATTTTGCGGTGGGGGGGCCGGTGGGGGGGCCGGTGCAAGGGCATGGGGTGGCCCGGCCACCCCAGGCCCCCCCGGTGGATCCGCCCCTGTTGGTGACACCATAAAAAAGGCCATTGCAGTTGTCTAGTCTGGAAAAGACGAAAGAGGAAACCAAGCTTTGAACAACAGACATGTTTAGTGATTTGTTGACATTGCGTAATAAACGGAGTTGGTTGAAGCAGACCCTCACTAAATTATTAATATGTAAATCCATCTTTAGGTTTGAGTCAATAATAACTCCAAGACTACGGACAGATGTGGAAAATTCAATGATGTCATTGCCGACACTGATCGATGAAATTTTGACCTTCGACAGCTGCTGCCAAGAATCAACTGGTAATATTTGTGTTTTAAATTGATTTAACTTTAACTGATTCATACTCATCCAAGATCCAATTTCGATGAGACAATCAGTCAGTTCATTCAGAGAAGCATCAATCGAATCAACAGGACAAGAAACCAATAACTGAATATCATCAGCAAAGGCGTGGAAGCTGAACTCATAATTTTGAATGATATCAAAAACATCAGCAGTGTACATAAGAAACAACAGAGGTCCCAACACAGATCCCTGGGGGACACCAAACGATAGTTTGTTGATGTCAGAGAGGGTGTTGTTGTAAGAAACCTGCTGGGTGCGGTCTAAAAGATAGGAAGCGAACCACGATAAGACGGAATCATAGAGAAAATAATTTGTGGAGAGTTTATACACGAGACGAGTATGATCGACACAATCAAATGCAGCACTCATATCAAGTAATGCCAAAAAAAAACGCATTGACTGTCAACTGAAGAGAACAGCTGGTAGAAAATATCAATGAGTGCAGTTTCCGTGGAAAAATATTGACGATAGCCGGATTGATTCTTTGGCAACAAATTGTTTTTGTTTATATGCTGTAACAATTGTTTGATAACAACTCGTTCAATGACTTTAGTAATGAATGAAAGATTAGAGATAGGACGGTAATTTGAATATATATATATATATATATATATATATATATATATATATATATATATATATATATATATATTAATTGCAGCATGAATTTGGAAAATAAGTTTATTTTGAATTTTAATAAACTAAACGTTCATCAAAAAACTTTAGTGAAAAAAATTGAAAAAACGAACTACAAACATATTAACGCTAAGCATTCGGTAGAATTTATAGAATATTGTAAAAATTATGGTCTATTACAAACATATATATATAAATATATATATAAAGATATATATATATATATAATGTGCGTGACATGATGGCAAACCGACATTTTTTATTTTGATCGTCCTTCCATAATTTTTTGTTGCTGCCATTTTTAATAAGTTTTGTTTCGGTTATGCAGTGACCGTCGTTAGTTATTCATCAAAAAAATTGCGATTGATCTCGTTTTAATTTTAAGTAAGTTTTAAACGGACGATCTACATAAGATTTTTTAAATATTTGCGTATAATTCATTTTAATTGAGCAAATAGGGCTGATATATTTTTTTTTAATTTAAATTTTTCCACTAATATTAAAAATTATTAATATTGAGTTGAGTTTTAGTTGTTTGTCAACTATTATATTATTCTTAGTTTAGTAGTGTTTCGTTTTTCAGTGGTTAGTTTAAAAAGTTTAATTCGTTTTTAGTAACTGTGCGTTTGTTTATTTATTGAGTTTTTTTTATGTTTCTGGTCTCTCTTATGGCCTCATGCTTATCTTATCTCTAGAGTAGAGACCAATATCTTTTAAATTAAACAAAAACAAATATTGATTTAATTTAATGAATTTTAAAATTAAAATATTAAATGTTAAAATTTTTTAATTTAATAAATTTAGCTTTTATTTTAGCTTTTTAGATATGAATAATCATATTAGAATTTGTAGCTATGGTGTAATGTAATTGTAGTGTAATGTAACGGTTACTTACTGTCATACATTTTGTCACACATATAAATACTTTGGTATAAAAGTGCATACAATTTTTTTCAGTTGTAAATAAATAACATTTCATATTTAAACACCCATGAAATTAATTAAATAACCTGTATGTTTTCAGCATTGTTACATTATCAGCGCTAACAACCCACCACTAATGTGTTTTTTCATTACTCTTTATAATTATTACTCTGCATTCTTAAATGTTATCAAACGATCTTGACAAACATTGTACTTGCTCCATACAATACACTGTACAGATCTGAGAAACATTTTTATATTACAAGCTTGATAGTTTTATAAAAAAAACAATTTACCTATAAAAAAAACATAAAATAAAGTGACAAAATGAACTTTTTAAATTATGCATTTATGCATTAAAGAGTTGATTATTTTAATTAAATATATGAATATTAGTTGATTTTATTGTAAGAATATTATATGAAGGCTATAAATATAAGATGATACTATATACTATTATAAATATAATATGAACTGTAAGTGAGGGTTTTTCTACTATCTCATAAATATTAATAAGCATGGAGGCCTATTATATTATAAAGCTTCAGGTGCAAAATTTAAAAAATATTTATATTTTATTCTCTTATTCAGTATTTTTACACAAAATATGCATACATCAGGTAGTGGAAGTATATAGTAATTGTGGCTCAAAAATTAAATTTACAATCATCATCATCATAGGGTAATGATTGACCTGGAAAGGGTTCTTAGTAAATTTTTAAAATTTTCAACTTCCATGTATCTGACTTTTTCGAATGTAAGTTAAAAAAGAGAGAACACCAATTTAATTTAATTCATAAGTTTATTATTTTCAGGGTGTAGTTGTCGTGATGTCGCAAGATGCAGCAGGGCAGTCCTCAAGCGATGAAGAAATGGATGATGATAATTTTCAATCCTATTATGAAGCAGATGGCGAGGAGCAAGAGGCAGACCAACTAGCAGAATATGACGTCGAAAGTTTTGATTACCAGCTGTTGAGAGTGGAGGAAGTGGAAAGGCTGCTGAATGAATCGGTTGAAGCTCTGTGCAAGGAGATAGATGTTAGAATTGAATACCCTGCTTTTAATTTTCCACTTTTTCGCATTAATAATTTTATAATAGTAGTTTTTTTTAAATAACTTCAGAATAGATAGATTATTAAAAATAGATTAAAGTTAATTTCTGATGGTCAGGAAGTGTATTTGTACTAAAAACTTTCAGTTGAATTTTTAAATTTCAAAGGTGGAGCCTGCCCTGGCAAAAGTGTTATTGCATACCCAGAAATGGATGATGTCAGACATAATAAGAGAATATAAACTTAACGCGAAAAAACTTTTGGCTAATTGTCGAATACATCCACTTGATAAAGCCCAGGTTTGTCACTGGTCACCATCTTCACTTACTGATCTCATATATTTTTTACAAGTTCAAATCATGTTTTGTTTATCATGTTCACAGTAGAGTTTGAAAATAACAGAAATATTGATGAGATATATTTCAAATGTGCATTTGAAAAGAGATGCTTCAAGTTGATGAGAATCTATCTAAAACTAATAGTTGGGTTCTAAAGAGTTGAACATGCAACTTAATATGAGATATGTAATTTTGTTTGTTTCATTAGATGACCTAAAATTATTGTATTGTGGTTTTTGATGGAGTTTTATGTTTCATCATCATCAATAGTGTTTATCACTCAGACATGCTCCCCTTAAAAACACCAAAAACACATCTCAAATCTCTTTTCCAAATCTGCACTACCGAAGCACCTTTTCACACCCCCTTAGGCAAGCTATACAAGCAAATTGACGGTTTATCTGTTCACATATTTCTTCTTAAGACATCTTGTGAGCAAAGCGTTTATTGGCAATCCGGAATTAAAACCAAACATTTATGCCAGATATGTTGACAATATTTTTGTGGCATACAATGATCCAGAACAAGTCAACCTAGTTACTAGCAATCCTAAACTGATCAAAATTAAATTTCACTGTCGAGCACCAAAATGAAAATTCATTGCCATTCTGAATGTTTTGGTAACGCATGACGAACAAAGATTTACAACAGCTTTTACCATATAAAATATGGGTGTTTTTCCATTATTTCATATAAAAGTATATATTGTATCATAATGTGTTATTATTTTGAAATTGGCATTTAATGTTCACGTTGGTGTTCATTCATCTTATGCAGCCAATCAAGCTGACTTCAAATTACATTTGCCCTGTCTGTATGCAAAAATGTTCAAATGAGAACGTCTGCAGCTTATCATGTGGCCACATCTACTGCAATGAATGCTGGCAGACATACTTTCATGTTCAGATCCAATCAGGCCATTCAACCTGTTAGTTTATTTCATTTTGTTTTTTTTTCTAGCTCCTTACTCAGTTTTTGGAATTTGAAAATGTAACTTAGTGTTAAATGTGATGAGTTTTTCGATAAGGCTGTATTTACATTTCCAAAAGTTATTTTACAAACTCATTGAATGTTTCAATCTAAAATAAATTGCATTTTGTTTGGAAGCTTTTTTTTTACAATTTTTTATGCAGTTTAATTAACTAAGAACTCTCATCTGAATGCAACTTTGAAATTTATTCTGCTTTATTTTGTTATGCTTGGACCATTGAGTTTGTCAATAATGATAATTGCAATTGTAACAAACATAACAGCCATAGAATGCATGGGACGTGAATGTGACCTGCTGGTTCCTGAGGACATGGTCATGAATATCCTCACCAACCCCAACATGCGGGACAAGTACCAGGAGTACATGTTCAAGGACCATGTCAAAGTTTGTCATTTCAATCTTATTAATCACCGTTTGTTGTATTGTATTGGCACATTCAATAAGGCAACGATGTGTTCTTCAATTATTTTTCATTTGTATTCAACTGCATGATTTTAGTGGTTTATCCAGAGTTGCTTTGATATTTAAACAATTATTCACATTTTAAACTCTCCTGTTAAATTTTTATGTTTTGTTTCACTTTGTTCATCATTTTCTTGACTTAAAATATTTTTACAGTGGTCCTATATTCAGAGTGCATCTACTTATTAACTAACATTTCACATAACGTCAAATTTTTTCTATCTGTCTCCTAGAAACCTACTTTTAATATGAATGCTTAGAAGGTCGAACATGTTTTTACTGGTGTTATTAAAATAATTATTAATCTGAATTTATTGCTGATTTTACATTTTCATTTTTTAAATGTTTTTAAACATTCAAAAATTCCATCTTAGCAAAAAAATATTTTCAATGTTTTTCTAATGAGCGTGTGATTAAATGAGTGAATGAAAGGACGAAATGGTGAACAAAACAAAAGAATGAGTGAATGAACTGGATGCATGCATGTACTACTACAGAGTCATCCCGAACTGAGGTTTTGCCCTGGAGCCAACTGTGTGATCATCGTTCGAGCTCGAGTCTGTAAGGCCAAGAGGGTCATTTGTGACTGTTGCAAAACTTCTTTTTGGTTTGTTCACGGCTTTCATTAACTTTTGAATTTATTTTAAAAATTTTTTAGAACGTTTTTTATCCATGTAGACTAAACTATTTAGACATGCATGTCAGACAAAGTGTTTAATTGCTTGTTCATTTATCCAATAGAATAAAACCTTTTTTGAATTAGAGAACTGCACAATTGATTTATGAAACCACGCATGTATCCCTCACTAACCAGCTTCAACTGTGGTGTTGACTACCATGCTCCGACAGACTGTGACACCATCAAAAAGTGGCTGACCAAGTGTGCTGATGATTCAGAAACTGCCAACTACATTAGTGCACACACCAAAGATGTTAGCTCCTTTATTATTTTATTGCACTGAGTGTTGGTGTTTGCTCCGAGGAGTCTTTTTTTTATGTAAATTCTCATTTACAAATTTTTGATTTATCTGTAAATTCATGAAATTTTAATAAAGATATTTGTTTAGATTTTTTACATTTTACTCTAAGCTTGGCGATAAAATTTATGCTGAGTTGCAACTGGTATTGAATTGGTTTTTTTTTTTTTTTTAATTGTTACGTTGTATCCCCTAATAAAAACAGAACTACATATAATGTTGGGCGCATTAGGGTAGTTTTGGTGCAATTAAATTAAGAGATTTCACTTTCAACATTGGTGGATTGGTTGGCTCATTTATTTCAAGTAATGTTTTGAGATAATTATATAAGACCATCATTGTGTTTTTGATAGAGTAGATAAATTTTAAGATGAATAATGAAATGAACATGTTGAAATTTTGTTGCCAAGTGTCCCGAGTGTCACGTGTGCATTGAGAAGAATGGAGGCTGCAACCACATGCAGTGCTCCAAATGCAAGCACAACTTTTGCTGGATGTGTCTTGGAGGTTCTGTAAATTTTTCATGTTTTCTTCATTTTTGCTTTCTCATTATTAGCTTCATAGTCACTTTTTTTAAAATAAAGTTGTGACTTGTTTCATTTTATGCATTCTTACTATCAAAAACTGTGCAAGATGATATTTTATAATATTTATGGGACATTTTGTATAAACTTTTCCATGTTACTTTTAGTTTACTGAAAATTTTGCATCAACAATTTTTTACATATATGATGATTGTTTGTATGGGTTATGCATGACATGATAGTTGCTATAAAATTTGTTAGGCATTTGTAATTTCTGAGATCTTTCCAACTGTAGTTATTTACTGACTTGTTGTTTTTAATTCATCTTAAATTGTTGAATGTCATTTGTTATTAGTCTGTTGAGAATGAATTCTCAAAAATTAAACAAAAAATGATACAATAATGAGGATGACCTGCTGATTATGCGTGCATGTAAGAATAGTCATGCACCTTATTCAGGTGTTGTTTTGTGGGTGAGATGAGTTTATTCAAAATTTCAACAACAACAACACCATTATGCCTCTCTCCCATTCCTGTATTATGATAGCGATTTAATCAATTAATTCTTATTAACATGAAGATTTACATAAAAATTGTATGCATATTTTTGAATATGATTTAATTTTCGTTAAATCTCAGACTGGAAGGCGCATGGCAGCGAATATTACGAATGCAGCCGCTACAGAGAGAACCCCAACATCGGAAATGAATCAGCACACGCTCAAGCCAGGGAAGCTCTCAAGAAATATCTCTTTTATTTTGAAAGGGTTTGTTCAACTGTTCTGTTATCTCAGCTTCTTATTATCATCATTCCTTCAGTTCTGTTTTAACAAATCATTCGTCTGTAAAAAATATGAACTCTTTGTTGATTATGATGGATCTGTACCATGTGGCATGGGTATCATCAGGATTTATGACACAAATTACAAAAATTTGTATCTCATTGAACTGTTATAAAAACGGAATGGTTAAAACGAAGATCTAGCAATATTATCGTTTTTTCTCAATCTAAAATGATGAAGGACAGTGCTCCTTGAAATGTGTTGCACATCCAATGTTTCAATACACGTCTTGTGAGACAATTTGTAAACTTCTCGTGTAAATATACTGATGGATCACGATTTATGAAAGTGTATATGTTCTGTTACTAAAAATTTATTGATATTAATTAATTAATATTATATTGGGACATGCAATGAACGATTGTTTAAAACAGTGGGAAAATCACGCACAAAGTTTGAAACTGGAGGAGCAGACATTGTCAAAGATAAAGGATCGAATAGAAGAGAAGGTGATGAACAGTTCAGGCACGTGGATTGATTGGCAGTATCTTATGAGGGCCACCAACCTGCTCAAAAAGGTGGCCAGATTGTTCTAATTAAATGATGATGGTCATTATTTTATCAATTGTCTGGCGATTAATAAAATAATAAAACCGATGTCATTATTTAATTGAAATTTTGTCAAAACTCAAAGTTTAAATGATCACATATCTCATGCTGCTTATAAATCAATAGATGGATTTTAAAAAGTTGAAATGTTTTCGTTGAACAGTGTCGTTACACCCTGCAGTACACTTATCCTTATGCTTACTATTTGGAGAAAGGACCCAGGAAGCAACTTGTTTGTTTTTTTTCTTTAAAATTTTCATTTTATAAAATGGTTAGCTTTGCTGATAGCTGCTCATGATTAGTATTGCAGACAGTATATTTTTATGAGGACATTGCTCATTCATCATATATTCTGCTACATAATAAATAGTAAAAACTTAAATATTTAGATTATTTATTGTTCACCCCTTCCAAGAACCAAAATGCTGCTTAATATTTAGAAGTAATTAAAGTTTATCGGTCAATTCATCTAAATTGGAGAAATGTCTACAACCCTTTAATAACATTATTTTTGATGATTTTGAATAGAAGGCATTGTTCAGTCACGAGACATGTTACATAAATGCCCGCATTGAAAAGATCAATATCAATTATTGCCACGAAATTGAAGTTTCATCATCAGTTTATTTATTTTGCAGTTCGAGTATCAACAAGCTCAGCTTGAAGCAGAAGTTGAGAACCTGTCATGGAAAGTAGAGAGGGCTGAAATAACTGATAGAGGGGTTAGTTGGATGGATGGCTCGATGTGGTGCTTCAACCGATATAATTTATTGAAGTTATATGACATTTTGCCTGTAGAAACATTTATGGTTGATGCTAAGTAAACTTTTTCCATAAAATTAAATTAATCAATATTAAAATGTTAGCTGCGTGAGCGTCTTCAGATCTGTTGTAATGACATGTTCATTGAAGATAGTTTGATCCGCTTTGGTAATGAATAACTGATGAACAACCAAACAAACACGCGCCAGGAGTTGGAAAACCAGATGGACATCGCGGAGAAGAGAAGACTCATTTTGGTAAAGGACTTCCTGGAGGCCTGATTGTACCCATCATAGGACGCTGCTTGAATACGATTAATACATGCACGTGTTGTATTCAAGCAAGCATACAACTTACCCTACCGTGTACCCTCCTGCAATCAAAACGAATGCCACCACACATTAAATATGCTTGATGATCATTTTCGAGCGAACGCATCGCATTTAAAAATAATCACGAACGTGGATTAGAAGTTACTCAAAACCGCCAACATATATACTTGTTATTGTAAACATTTTGTAAATATTACTGCATGGTAAAACATACAAGTACTAGACATCTTTAATTATTTTTTATTTATATATTATTCGTTTTTCCTTGTTTCCGCTATTGTTGATCTCCTTGCATTTACGATTCTGCTGCTCGTTCTCTTTGTACTACCGTTTCAACAAAATTCGTAGCAACCAACCAACTGCGGGGCAACCAACTTTGACTACAAATTTATTTTGTTATGTGCATTTGTTTCGAAATAACATTTGATATAACGTGTTTGTAATTACATTAGCATATTGCCACACGATAATGAATGTGTGTAATTAAATAGGAGTAAAGCTAAGCTGAAGTTCAAGGCTAATTGAACTTGTGAACTCATGTTGGCTATCGACATTCCTAATAAATATTTTAAACGTTTTGCTTTTTGAATAGATCGGGGTTTTATGTTAATGCACGCAGTATTCTGTCGGTGCTTGGTATCTGATAAATTAGTCAGTCAATTCTTCGCAATGGATAGAAAATATTTGTGTGAATGCCGAATGTCGCTATTATTAATTATATTATATTTTCAAAATTAACCATGTGAAATAAATAGTTACGAAAAAATAAAAAATTGTTTGTGTTGAAATAAAGTTGTAACAAGATGAATTGCAAACAGCGGTCGGCGTCTTCCATTGAAACACAACTTGACTCATTATTTCAGACACTGTATCGTTTTCCTCGCTAAAAATGATTTATTTGTCGTTTCCATCGCCTGATAACGTTTATGTTTGTTTCTTTATAGGCGAATTGCAGCAAATATTTCATCACCGGTTAAGTCATTCCATTATCAAAATCTTACATTAAAGATGAAAAATCTCGTCAGCTTCGTTTCATCGTGATACCTTTAAAAGTGTCTAGAACAGCAAAACAAACATTTCCCGCTTGCTTTCACCTCATTTCTCTTTTAAGTTTTGTGTATGTCCGGTCGGTATGTTCTTTTTATGGTTCTTTAAGCTTCAAACGACTCGTCTCTTATCTACGCCTTTTCAAAAGAAAACATTAAAACCAATTTATCGGAAAACCAAAGAATATGATTAAAGCAGCATCACATTGGTTGTGATTTATAGGCAACAGTTAAAGAAATTGTTAAAGGCGTACCAGTAACGTGACTCGAACTCTGCGAGCAGAACAGCCATATTTAAAAGAATGTTTACAAAGAAACAATAGACAATAGTACAAAAACCAAGGATGTTAGAGCTAAGTGAAAACTGGCAGAATTAAAAAATTAGACTTATGAAATAAGTTTAAAAATGCTGTTCCACTGCATGTTCGGTTCAAATATAAAGCCAGTTGCAATTTCTTCACCCTCACAATTTCTGCATCACCTTCTGGAGAAAATATAAAAAAGAAGTTATTTTACAACTTACTTTCCAATTCCAAAAATGACATCAGCATCGGGAGCCCCTTTGGGAGGTTGCACATTTGTTCGTTTGTCTCTGAATGTTGTACCAGTTTGTGCTGTGCTCTGCGCCATCATTTCAGCTGGAATTGTTGTCAGTGTGTGAAACAATGAAGCAAATAAGCAAATGATGATTGACAAAATGAAAAATGCTCATAATCTTAATAAAAATATAAATGCATGTGAACCTTGATAATTTTCCTCCACTTGCCTCTCATGAATCTCCAAGACCATTCTCTTCATTCGCTCTTTCTCTTCTTGGTCATGCTGTACAATTGAAGTTAACCACGTAATGAAGATGTTTCATTCTAAATGCTGAACAAGCAACCGACGCTACTGAAAATTATTACATAAATGAAATAACCTTTATTTGTTCTTTGAATTTTGAAGCAAAATTTTCTGATAGCGGTATAGACAACGTTGACAGCTGAAATTTAATAATATGATGTATTATAGTTTAACCATTTTGATGTTATTTACTGCAAAATAATTCAAAAAGCCAAGCGCTCATCAAAATCATGAAAATCAAAACATATAAATACTGAATACAAATACATTTTACCCACCGATCAACAATATTAATATGCTTGAAAGACCAAAAAAATTGCCGACAAGACAAACGCTAAATATTAAGAACAAACAGTTAAAACCACGGAGCTAATTTGATCAACATTTCGAAGAACATTTACTACAAAGTCAGGAAAATAAGAATATATTTTGTTCCTACCTGTGGCTTGTTTCCCTTCCTGGTCAAAACTGTGAATGGGATGAGGCTAACTTTTTCATCCTCTTCTTCATCGGTAACGTACGTTTGTGATTTACTGTTCGGACCTATAAAAAATATTATTAATCAGCCTTATAGTTTATTTATTTATTTATCCAGATCTGATTGCAAAATAATGAGGCACAAATTTCAAGACTCAGATGAGGACTAGCACCAATCAACAAGTGAATAAGCAACAGACCAATTATTTTTCCATTCAAGTTATTTTTCTGTGCCATCGGGACAGCAATTTCTACAACTGGTATCTTCACAATTTCCTGCTGTCTGGCCTGCAAAAATGTTTCAAGCTATTTATTTATGCATGTATGTATGTATGTATGTATATATATATATATATATATATATATATATATATATATATATATATGTATATATATGTATATATATATATTTGTGTGTGTGTGTGTGTGTTCAACGTTGTTCCACGTTAGTTGGCTTCCTGTTTAATTTTTCGATTTTCTAACGGTAGATCGTAAATCATCATTGTCAATTTTCTTGAGTTCAAAAGCAAAATCTTCATTTATTTTAAGCATGACAGAACATTTAAGCATGGTAGAACAAAAAACTTTTTCGATATTCCTGTTTCATGAACGCGTAGCAAGTGAAGAGCATTTATGTTAGGAGCGTCAACTAGCAAAACATGAAAGTACATAGAAAATACCTGCCTATCAATTGCAACAACACCAACAACAACACTAACACAACGAACGACAACAACTGAAACGATCAAAACTTGATCAAAGTGAGTCACCAACCTGAACGGAGTCACTCATCATCTTATCCAGTGCACTCAAGAAGTCGTCATCCTCCTGGCACTTTATAAACTTGGGTCCGACATCCAGTGTCACGTGATTCTGTAGTTGCGTAGTTAATTATACAAACAGATGAAATTATGATGGGACACCGCCGTGTTTAACATCGATTATGAAATTGTGACAGGCAATGTTATAAGATATTAATTTCGTGTGTTTAATACATTTTAATACAAATTGTTTCCTACAAGACAGTGATGCTATGAACGCCATTGTTTATTTTGCTTCGTGTCAATTCGATTATTATGTACCAATAATCAACATGTAATAATTTGAAGACATTGTTTATAAAAAAAAGGTGATAAAAATCATTTGAATAAATTTTTTAACAGAAAAATTGCGCTGAAAGAATTTAATTTAAACAAGTTAAAAATACAGTACTGACATCATCATCCTCATCATCTGGTTGAGAGGGCAGCTTATCATCATCTTCATCATACTCATCATCTTCCTCGTCTTCCTTACCTCTTAAATGATGCTCCTCTTCCTGCAAGATAAGGTCAATGTTTTATGCTTGAACGAAATGTTCATGCACTTTTCAGAGTAACATTCTACCAATCATGTAAGTGTACACCAACATTCAAGGCAACCAATCATGTAAGTGTACACCAACACCCAACCAATCATGTAAGTGTATACCAACATTCAACTAATCATGCAAGTGTACACCAACTTACTGGTTGACTGTTCTCATCATGATCACTTTTCGCATCGTCATCAACTGAAATATAAACAATTTTTAAATGGAGATAACAGTTTAGAACAAAACCAAAGATTTTTAATGCAAACTTCTGAAGTTTGTTTTGAAATGCAAACGCGTTAAATATTCGGAAAAAAATTCTCTGCAAACGTTTTATACGTTTTGCGAATTTCAATATATAAATTCGTATTAATTAACTAATTTAGCTTTTCGGCCATTCATCAGCTATTAATTCAGCTATTCATTCATCAATTCATGCACTCACTCACTCACTCACTCACACACTCACTCACTCGTTTCTTCATTAATTGTCGACAATCCAGATTGCTGGCCCTCCTTATTCGCTTCCACTGGATTGTTCTTCAAGTATTCAACTGTGCGAACAACAGCAAAGTATGTTACAAGTTCTATGCAAATAATTGAGAATGGTGATGAAGATGATGACGATGAATGTCAATGATGAAGACGATGATGATGGAAGTTAATGACGACGATAATGAATAATGTCATTATGACAAACACCGATATTGAATGATGTTAGTGGTTTTGATATCAGTGACGACAGTCAGAGGACAGACAGATAAGCCACGAGAGCACTAACCAATCTTCTCCTTGAAATCATCATCCAGCTTCTGAGCAGCCTCTTTAGCTTCCTGCCAACATTTGAACAGCTGCAACTTCGGTCTCAACAGTTCCACAACATCTCGCAACATGTTGTCAACATCACGTGGAAAGGAACAGTTGTCAGACCAGACGGGACAATTCTTCTTGAACCAATAATATCGCTAGTGGTCGATTTTATAAACAATCGCTAGCATCATCATTGTAGATTCCCCGTTGAAATCAACCAGCTGAGATTAACAAGCAAACAAACAAACAAGCAAACAAATCAACAAACAAACAAACACATTCATTCATTCGATCCAGCATGAGAATTAACTAACCTGGAAGTAAACAAGGAAGCAATCAAGTTTCTTCTTACTTGAGCCTCTGTCAAAGTACTCCCCGCACGCATCCAACAGGACGCAGACCAATCGGATTCGCAGCAAATGTTCAGGAGGGTCCAACGTGGAAGGGGCGTTCTCTGATTGGTTGGTTGGTCACGTTATCATGGGTCGTCAGCGTTCAATAGAGCAATGAAGAAACTCCAACATGAATGAATTGTTAAATAAACGAATGAGTGAAAATATGAAAAATGAATGAATGAATGAATAAAGAAATTAATGAAAAAAAATATACAAAAAAGATCAAACCGTCAAATGATGTTTCGAATGTGATGAACGAGTAGAGAGTTTTAAAGATGATATCTGACTCCACCAATCTGTAGTTGTACATTTCGCCCAGGTACTTCACTGTACTCAAACGTTGCTGGTTCAACTTCGGCTGATTCATCTGTCACAAGTGTTGTATGTCATGTGTGTGTGTGTGTGTGTGTGTGTGTGTGTGTGTGTGTGTGTGTGTGTGTGTGTGTGTGTGTGTGGGTACGTGTGAGTGCGTGTGGGTGGATGGGTGGTAGGCGTGCATTCGTATTCAATACGCATGCATATATAAGCACACAAATAAACTTACATATGCCCACAAATATATACATTTGCGTGCGTGCGTGTGTGTAACATGGCTCCAATAAATAATAACAACATTATGATAGTGGATGATGATGATGTGGCAATCAAAATATAAAAGTAATAGGATGACAATGAGTGTATTAATTGTATTAATTAAGTGATGATAATGAATAAAGTGATGAATGATGATGACCAACCTCCATGCCCAGTCTGATATGTTCCAGCACCGCATCCACTACATGTATGCCGACCTCCTCCTTATAGTTGCATATACATATACACATACATACATACATACATACATACATACATACATACATACATACATACATACATACATACATACATACATACATACATACATACATACATACATACATACATACATACATACATACATACATACATACATACATACATACATACATAC